TCTTATAAAACAAAAAGAAGCTAATTTTTGTAAATATTGGCTTTACTGAAATGGTGTTTTCAAAGCAAAATTCAAGAATAATCTAGTTTGTTAAGAAACATTCATATAAGCCATTTTTCTTTAAAAGCGGTATAAAGCAGGGGTATGTACCTACATACATTTCGATAGTATCAGAGTGGCGTTGTTTGGAATTTTTTTTATTAAGCAGAACTCATTCTCGATAAAAATTTCTAAACAAAAACCACTCTGGGACTGCCATACAAATGTACAAATCGTGTAATCCTTGATCAAGTCTACCTTTTGAAAAACTGAGTTAAGGATGACACTGTAGGAATGCTAAATTTACACAAAAAAACGGCGAGATACGTAAATTTAATTTTCGGTCGTACATTACGGATCCGTATACCGTTTTTCTGCATCAGGTAATTTTCCCCAAGATATTTTCATTTTAAGTTTGCATTGTGAACAAAAAAAAATTCAAAATTTAACATGGAAAATGTTACTCATACGGCATGTGGTCTCTTTCAACTCACCACAGTCTTTCAAAAGACAACAATCTTTCGTAAGACAATTGTCAATTCTGGCAACCATGTAAATTGAAAACTCTTTGCTGTTTTTGGAAAGACTAATTGAAAAATCTGTTAACAAGCAGGTCTTAGCGTTTTTCTGTTTGTGGGTACTTAAGGAATAAGTTTTCTAAAAATTAAATTAAACTAAAAAAAATATATATACATTTCCTTTTAAAAGAATAATAAATAGATATTTAAAACAAATTACACAAAAAAATTTATGAAGTCTCTAAAAATTAAATGAAACTAAGAAAAATATGTTTGCTAAAACAATAAAATCTAAGAATTAAAAAATAAATTAATTAAAAAGAAAAGTGAAAAAATCAAAAATAAATAAGTTCCTAAAAGTTAAATAAAAGTACAAAAAAATATTTTGTTTTTTAAAATAATATAATCTGAAAAGTAAAAAAACTATATTACAAAATGACAAAAAATGTATTTATTTTTTAAACAATAAAATTCAAGATTAAAAGAAAATTAAAAAAAAGGTTAATTAAAAATAACGAAAAAAATTAATTACAAAGAATAAAATTTAAAAATGAAAATAAAAAAATTAAAAATAAACAAATAAAATATGTAAAAATTAAAAAGTTAAAAACAAACAAATAAAATATGTATCTAAAAATTAAATAAACTAAAAATATATACACATATAATTTTCTTTCAGAAATTAAAATCTGAAAATTAAAGGAAAATTAAACTAAATAAAGAAAACATTTAAATAAACTATGCATAGAAAAGAGATCCGCTCCCCAAAGGTTCCACCTCGGGATCTCTCGGATGGCTAGTGCTTTGCTCATTTCGCCATTGCGACGGTTGGAGCAGCGCGGGCAAAATGATATACATACATACAAGAGCTTTTCACCGTGAAGTTGGCAGGAAAGTTTTTTTTTTTAATTTTATTTAACTTGTTTTATATGTATATATATATCTTTGTATGTACAAATGTGTGAACTATGACATATGATGTTGGCAAGAACTGAACAACGCCATTAATACCAAAAAAAAAAAAAAAAAAAAGTTGGGAAGAATTAAATACGGATAACAATAATAATAATGATTTTCGATTTAAATGCTTATTATATTACTGCATATGTATACAAATGCATGCATACATATATACATACATACATACATATGTTGAAGTGACCTTATAGTCAAATGTACTAGTTGTAAACTACTTCACAACTAGTATGAACCGCATGCCCAACTAGTCAGCCAACTATCTTTTTTCCATACAAACAACTGGTATTTTTAATTGTCCTACGGGATGGCAATTGTCAGATTTCGGTCAGAAATACACCAGTCTCTAACTAGTTCAAAATAGACAGAAGAATACTAGTCCAGTCATGGACCAAAACCACTACTTTGGAGGTAAAAAAAATAAAATGAATTCCTGAATATACAATAAAGAATTTTTTTATTAAGTGCACTTTAATATATGTATTACACATTTTTATTTATTTTTTTTATTTATATAACCAAAACAAAGATAAAAGTTTTCATTAAAATAAATTAAATTCATTAACTTTGCACATTTCAGTCCTTTCTTTTTATTTTTTTTAAGTAAAAATATAATAGTTAATGTTTAAAATTTGAGATTTGTATAAGAATAAAATAAATAAATAATTCAAGCAGTTATTAAATATTCTTAATTTTTGTCTATACTTTGGCTTGTTGATTGATAATTGAAATTAATCAAATAATTATATTAATTGTGTAATAAAAAATAAATAAAAAAATTAAAATGATCAAAAATAACAAAATAGTGATGTAATTAAAATTAACGAATTAATTAAAAAAATTTGTTTAAAAATTTGTTTGTTTGTGTACTCTATTGTATTAAACTGTCGAAGTGAAGTAAAACAGGGCATGAATAAATCGTTTTGTGCTTGGTACAAGTATGAAAATTTTCGAACTAGTTCGGTTTCAGTCAGGAAATTCTAGTTGTTAACTAGTATTTTTCCCGACTAGTTTGGGGTATCACTGCAGGGGAATGCCACATTAGGTTACAAGTGGCGTTTGGCGGTATTATTTACTTTCTGTTTTTTTGCGGTTGAAATGCTTCTGCTGTTCCTGTTCCTACTACACTACCTCTGAGCACGTTTGTGCTTACAGAGCGACAATTCTGTTATCTTAATTTATGCCGATGGATGTGTTTTTAAATAGTAAAATATACAAATACACATATATGTATGTAGGTACGTACATATATATATTTACTTAGAGACTAAGAATGTCAAACCCCCCCGCGCTCACTCCCTGCAACATTTTCGTTTTGTAAAATTTAAATTGAAATAGTAACGCGCGAAACGTTTTTCCTGATGGAGACAAACGATGCACGGCTCATGCGGAGATTAGGCAAGACGCCAAAAGTGCAAATGAAGAATAATGGCTTTGTTGAAGGAGTAGAAAGAGTAGAAAAATTATTGCTGCCGTAATTTGTTGCCCGTTTAAATGGTTTTGAAAAGCACACTCGCACACACTTACATACATACATTTATAGCTATACGAAGTAAGTTTACTTAGTACATAGATAAAAGTACTACGGCTGCATATTTTGCTTTGTTGTTGTGTATTGTCAACATAAGTTGCAATTTTTTAAAATACAATTTTCGCTACAAAAGAGCGGCGGCGGGTATGTGTCATGTCGTTGCTGGAATTTCTCAATTAATTTCAATGGCCTCAAAGCAATTTGTTAGGCACATAGGCAAGCAACGAGGTTTATAAATTTGAGTTTAGACAAAATTATTAAATATCTTTAAGGACAACTGGGAACTGCCACGACATGTGCACCACAGTTATCGCGACCGATTACAACTTATGGAGTGCTAGTCTGTTTGAAATGCTTTGGATAGAAAAGGCGATCAGGCAATCATCGGAAGGACGCAAATAATCGTGTGCTTCGGTATATGTATCTTCATATGTATCATCTGACACTAAAATCTGGCTCGACGTCGTTCTCTAAATTCGCGGGGATAAGAAATTTAGTCGTGGCGTCGTAGAGATAGCTTCTTTTCGTGCTATCAAAAAAGTTTGTTCATGAAGGCTTCGGTATTTTACGCATTACCGTCGATGGGAAAAAATTGCGCTTAAAAGCAGAGTCTGACGATTGGGCATTTGGCCATTTGGTTATTAAAATACGTTAAAAAGTATTCACTTTATATTTCTAGTAACCAGATTTCCATCATCGGCTCTGCGAAAGGTAGAACTGGCTTTGAAACCATTTGAATCCCGGTTTTTTTTCCTGATTTCTCGCTGCATTTCTGTTTGCCAGCATCCCAATGCCTTTCTGTCTCTTCCCTCCTTCTCTTAAAAATACGTCTCTCTTTCCTTCCCTTTTCCCGGTTTCGATCAATTGGCTGTTGTTTACCAATTAACTTGGCATGCGTATTTCTCTGCAGCAAAGGGGTGGGCACTTTTCGGAATACCAGCTGTTTCAGCGTGGGTGATGGTAGCCAATCACACCTCCCGGTACAAAGTGATTTGGAGATGTAGTCCCACTGCTAATCTAATTATGTCCAAGCGGTGATCAGTACGAAATTTCTCGCTTGTATATTTGGACTGCAGATTTTCGACGCTAAGCTTTCGTCGCCCTGCTTGAGGTACGTTATTTGTTGCTTAGAGGCGCATTTGGAGCTTAACTGCAACAAGGTGGCGATAAAAGTCAATTTTGACTATTGTAATTTGACATCCGTCCCAAAAACGCTCGAAGCCTGCCTTCTGTTATTTCGCTTTTTGGCGATTTGATCAGCGAACACCCATGTGGTTTAGGAAAGCCTCTCTCCATAAAGGCTGTATTCACCGATTGTTAGAATGAATACGCCCTCTTTGCTCATCCAGTCGTTAAAGGAGCCTACACTCAGAAAAAACACCATCTCTCAAACAAAGAAAAACTTTCCATATTTTTAGCTCTGTCAAAATCTCGAAAAATTCTCCCGAATGAGTAATTTTTCTTTGAAATGTGTAAAAGCGACACGAAAATATGCAACCGTGGTGTTCATTTTGATGTTAGCTATTTCCTTATTATTTTAGATTCGATGCCACTATTGCCACTCATTTGTGATTTCGATCAGATTGAAAATATCCAAACTACACAAAAATACATTCAGGAGCATTAACAAAGTATTATAACAGCCCTTATTTCACAGTCATACATTTAAAACTTTAAAACTGTCTTATGTTTGCAAGAATCCCTTTAAAAAAATTTATGACATTGGGAAGGTTCAGAAGGCGCAGCAGTTGAGCGCAACCGTTGCTAAAAAAAATCAGTGATCGTAATGCGTCTTCTGAACGGCTTGATATATTAGCTGTCAAATTCAAAACACACAACATGTTGTTTCAAATGATCAGAAAAATATTACGATCATCTAACACGCAACTGTTGAGTTGATCAGAAGTACGAAACAACGCGTTCAGAAGGTGCAATCGCAACAGATACTGAGCTGTTGCGCCTTCTGAACGTGCCCAATATAACTTGTTATGACATCCTGTGAATCACTGTAATATATGCATTTGTATGGAGTTCCCTGCTCCGAATCTCCCACTTTGTTTTCTAACGTGCTTCAATTAACGCAGCTGGTAACTCTTTATTTCATCGTTTACTCTTTTTCTCTTTCGCAAGAATAGTAGGCTTCGCTATTCTTCTTCTTGATAATATTGTTTGCTGTTTCGGTTCGCGTGTTAAGATAAAAAATAGAAGTAAAATGGATGAATTGGAAGAAATTTTAATAAAATTGAATGGCGAAATGTTCCTTAGCCTCTTTCGCGGTAAGTTAATAGTATATTTGCAGTTTATGTATCTGTTTTTGTGAATGTTTAATTGGTTTTAATTTAGAGGGCGGTTTTACTAGGGAATCAATGATGCTGCTCAAACCAAGTCATTTGGATACCCTCATCGATGCGGCGCAATTTGGACCAAGGATAATATTTGAGCATAATCTTCTTAATTGGCAAACCGAACAGGTAAGCTGTGGAATGTGCACATGTACATGCATACAAAAGCGCTAACCGCTTTCTTCTTTTTACAAGGGCGTTCATGTGCAAACAGCTCAAAGTGACGAGGGCGCATCATTCGCAAATGCAAGTATTGCAGAGGTAGAACTTATTTATAAACACAAACACGTATGTACGCTTTGGTGACTGAAACTAAATCTATTTTCGTTACATTTCATACATATAGAAAACACTCGAAGAAATTTTAAGGGGATCGGTTAGTGGAAGTCAAGTTTTGAAGTACTACAGTAAGACAAAAGTTCTTACGCCAAAATACAGAAAATTGCTTGCAGCAACAATCGCAAACTATTTGATTTCGTCCGGAGTAAACTCGAGCCCAAAAACATTTGAATCGTTCGCCAGCCAGATATCGAATTTCTTTTTAAGTGAGTCGAAGATACGTCGCCACATTTGCCATTGTTATTTCAGAAGCAATTCAAACTGCCACGCTTCTTTTAGGACATATATTACATACATAAAAAGGGGAAAAAACCAGGCGGATGTTTATACACTAAATACCACAGCACTTTATTCAAATGTAGACAGGACGGCATTATAAATAAAAAGCCCGCCGAAGAGAAGCCGCAAAAAGCAGCACATAGCAATTTATGTACGACAGGTAAAGATCTACTTTACAAACAGTGAGCGTCAAAAATAAGTAAAAATTTTCCTTATTTTTTTATAAAAGTATAGTTTATTCACAGCAAAAACCACATGAATAAATTTATTAATTTCATACAGAACTCGGGGAAAATTAAGGAAATTTTAATCAAAATTTTAAACTTTTCAATTCGATTCCTCAGAAAAATTGTTCTAAGAAATCAATTTGAAAAGTTGGTGCGTTTATAATTTTGAGATTGAGTTTAGATTCGAATTAAAAAAAAAAATTATTTTCATAGACTACACTCAAGAAAAATCGTGGCTTAAGTATAACGTCGAGCCTTTTGATGAAGTGCAAATCAAATGGGAATTGACTTTTGAAGTAAGGTGCCAAATGCTGCAAGATGATTCAAATCTAAATAAAATTTTAGAAGAATGGCCCCTATATAAGCAGAGTTTTGGACATTTATTGGTATAACTCGTAATATATTGCGTGCTTATTTTGAAATTAATTTATAATTGAGTAAGGCCAAGTTCAAGTTATCCTGTAAATGTCATTAACATAAAAAATATACGAATTTCTCCAAGTGAAATATTCCAGTATTACTTCTCTGGGCTTTACTCAACTAAATGAATATTTTAAATGATATAATGGGTAATTAACTAATGTTTGATTGATAGATTGAGACGGACTTTAACAAATTGTACCCAGAGAAGAAAAATTTATTATTCGAAAAGTGGGAAAATTTCAGCCAAGCAGTACGCCATATTTTTGAGATTTATATTAAAGATTCACACAGTTTGACAACCTGGAAGCAATTTAAGGAAGGAACGATTAAAGCTGGTATTTAAATTTTATAATAATCTAAATTATTTATTGATGAATTTTTGAATTTTAGAAGGTACGGATGCGGTCACATGCTATCTTCTACATTCTGTTTTAGTTCCAACCAGCCGAGAATACAAAACGTGCAAGCAAACAAAAAAGCAACATTTGGTCAAAGCCACTATTGAAGATTCCAGAAACAGTTTTTTAATATGGGCAACAACTAATTGTGAACTTCAATCAAAACTGAAATTAATGGTTGATGAGAATTATAAGGGCAAAAGCACCATTCAGCCCATCATATGTGCTATTGGAATGAGCTTGTTTGAGAGCAACGAATATTTCGTGTACTTCGCCAACATATTTTATAAGTTCGATAATGTTATCAAATGTATTGATGTGTGTTTTAAGATATTCCACGTACTTAATCTTAAATATCCTTCCGAATGCAAATCTATTTGGTTTTTTATCCAGCAATACTTTTATGACATTGCTTTGGAATCACACGAGAAAAGTACCTCATTGTGTGCAATATTAAGTGATTTAAAACAATTTAAATGTTTTAATAATAACTAAAAATGGAAGGACAAATTAAATGTTTTGTGTGCACACAATCTTTTGAACAATGCGATCGTTTATTTAAACATTTCAAAATTATTCATTGTTTATCACAATACGATATGTACAAATGTGGATTTACAGCTTGTAACCAATCATTTACGAATTTTAAATCACTTTGTAGACACATGCGAAACGAACGCAAAAGATATGAAATTACTTTATTAAGCAATCAAAATGTAAACGACGAATGTTTATCTAATACTACTTCAATGGCACCTAATACTATAATAACAGATACTGGTAATCAAAGTACAAATACTTTAAGTAACATAACAAGTTTAAATGTAAATGAAGAAACTTTAAAAGAAGGTTGCATTAAATTGTCTATGAAACAATATGCAAAAATAAATTGTCCTAGAAAAGAAACCGTTGAGTTGCAAAGAGATGTTACAAACATGATTTTGTGTCCATTAAAAAACCAATTAAAAAAAATATTGCAAAATTTCGATTCGCTAGGAAAAGACGATATTAAAGCTGATATTGAAAATTTAGTAAATATTTGTAGCGATCCATTTAAAGACTTTAACTCAGAGTATAAGTTTATTAAAACTCTTAAAGAACTAAATTTATACGAAAATCCACAAGTCATCACCATAAATAATTCAATAAGTAACTTGCAAACTAGACATGTAAACAAATTAAATGCAGCATTAGTAAGGGGTGTGTTATTTCCAATTAAATTTCAAATAAAAAAATTTTTTGAATTGCCAGGCATGTACGAAAATTTTTCTAAAAGTCTTGAATACTTAACCACCAATAACGAAGTTTTAAAAAATTTTGTAAATGGCGATATTTGGCAAAAAAAAATTCAAAATTATAAAAACAAGTTAGTTATTCCATATTTTCTATACTTCGATGACTTCGAAGTTAACAATCCCTTAGGTTCACATAGTTCATCAGTTTTAGCAGTATATTATTCCTTCCCCACCGCGCCAATTTCTGTTAAACATAAACTTCAAAGTATTTTGATAGCCGCTCTTTTTAAATCACAAGATGTTAAACAATTCGGTAATGATAAATCATTTTATAAGTTAGTAGAAATACTAAATGACTTAGAAAATAATGGTATTGAAATTAAAACACCAAACGGCAATAAAAGAATTTATTTATGTTTAGGTTTGATAATTGGAGATAATTTAGCGCTTAACAATATTCTTGGATTTTCTCGTTCATTTTCTTCTAACCATTATTGTCGATTTTGTAAAATAAATAAAACCGATGCCAAATTCGCTTTTATTGAAGATAATAGCCAATTAAGAGATCAACAAAACTACGCTTACGATATTTCTTTGAACGATTTCGAAAATACTGGCATAAGAGAGTTTTCCATTTTTAATAATGTCAATAATTTCCACGTAGTAGAAAATTTCTCTGTTGATTTACTTCATGACATCTTTGAAGGCGTTTTTAAATACGGTTTTTGTAATATAATCTTACATTATATTCATAAAAAGATATTTGATCTAGAATTTTTAAACACTCGTAAACAAACATTTGCGTATGGTGAGACTGAAATGGGAAATTTGTCACCACCATTGCAGATGCATCATTTAAAAACGTTCAAGCTAAAATTATCGGGAAGGGAAATGTTAACGTTCGCTCACTTTTTCCCTTTACTTATTGGAGACGCAGTAAATGAAGATGATAACTTGTGGAAATTCGTGTTAAACCTTATAGAGCTTTTAGATTTATTACTTTTGTCTGAATATACTAAATCAGATATAGAGAATTTAAGAGAACATATTCAATTCCACAACAAAGAATATACTAAAAATTTTAATGACACTCTAAAACCAAAGCACCACCTCCTTAACCACTATTGTAGAGTTCTTCAAATGTCAGGCCCCCTAAAATATTTGTGGACGCTACCTTTTGAATCCAAACATAGACAATTAAAGTCATATTCGAAAAATATTACTTCCCGAAGAAACTTAACATTAACTTTGGCTTTGAAATTTTGCATGACCTTTTCTGAAACAATTGTTAATTATAAGAACGTTACTTATACATTAGGCAGCGAAGAATATGAAGCGAAATTTTCAAAATATTTTAATAAAATCAGAGATGTACTTTCTGAAGACAATATTAACCATTGCATGTGCCACACAAGTTTTAAACTATATGGCACAATGTATAAAAAAGATTACTTTATATTTTTTTACAATCCAACTTTTGTATCATACCAAGTATTGGAAATTCTTGTTATAAATGACGAAGTATTTTTGTTTTGTGAATTAATAAATATTTTAATGTACAAACGCCACTATTTGTCTTATCAGATAGGTTCTAAAAGCACTATCTTTAAAATTATAAACGCTAATGAATTAAAATATCCGCCAATTCATATGTACATGGTAAAAAATCAAAAATTTTTGCGACCAAAAGTCTTCTTTTAATGATAAAAGCCTTAATAAAGATTTGTTTCATGAAAAACTAACATTTATGAGTGTTTTATTAAATTAGTTGAAAATAGAATATTATCCTTAATAAGAAGAAAAAATATACTTATTTTTTGGTAAAATATTCTTTATTTTAAATAAAAAATTTACTCCAATTGTATTATAGGTTCTATATTTTAAACATTTTTTTCTCTACAACAAAGAAATATTTTTTCCTCATTTTGAAGAAATGTTGGGCATGCGAATGAGGATAAGACTCCTTTAGTGCTGTTTCGTTCCCATTTTTCTTCATTTTGATTGCTGTTTTTCTTCAATTAAGAGAAGTTTTTTTTTGAGTGTAGCGTGATTTTAAAGTCACGGCGGGGGCAGCGTCCATATGATCCTTCCTCTTTATTCTCATCGCACACTTTCTTTGTCAAGCTATTTAATAAGTCAAAATATTTCACTCACATTTTACATTCTCACCGCGCAAGTGCATATTCTACTGTTGCCAGTGTTTTTCCCATTCCCCACTAATTGGATTCAGTTAACATATTTTGTAAAATTATACTTTATTTATTTTTAATTAACGTTGGCAGCAGCACTATAGGTCGCATCAGACTTTGTACATATATATGTATGCGCATTGGTTTATTTAAATTAACATTCGAGTTGTGTTGCTAAGCGATGCCATACTACAGGCTACATATTTATAAGAAAGTGCCTACGGATAGTCTCTGAATTAACTTTTGCCCGCCTCTTTGCTAAGGGGGGTTTCTTCATAACCACGCCGCCCTCTCATGCCTGCAAAGAAATTGTTAAGCTCATACTGCTGAGCTGAGTGAAATTAAATTAAAAATTGTATACTGTACGCAAAATTTAGCAACAAATTTGCACGCACTGTCACAAGTGCACTTGCGCTCACATACGCACATGTTGCGCTTAAGTGCACACATGAGATTGCATGCTATGAACGTATGTACATATACATATATGTATATGAATACAATAATGCGCTTTTATGCTGCAAAATGGCTTCTACAGGGTGATTCAATAAGACCACAGATTTTCTTTTATAAATAAAACATAATAAAATTTTGTCGAACTGTTTTTTTTTTTATTTCATAAATTTTTTTAGTATATGGCATTATTATGAAATCCAGCACCACGACGATGTGCTGAATTGTCGGTACCCAATACTCAAAAAATACTTCGTTTTCGGTACTCGATACCGATTCTTTTCTTAAAACCTTCCCCATTATATGCGTTTCAAGTTTAGAAAAAACTTTCATTACTAATTTATATGATATCGGCTAAAATACTTGGAACTTATCGCAACAGAGAAATATTTAGGGGATGCCCTTAAACTTGAAAATTCTTAAACTGTGTAAAACTCGTAAGTTTACGAGGCTTTTATGCGAACGCCCCTTTATGAAAAGGTGTAAATAGTTGCGTTAAGTGAGTGTTTGACAGATCAGCCAGGATTTTGTGAAGCAATTTTTGTTTCGTAGTATTTTCCATAACATCCCGCCATCTTGTCTCTATCACTCTTGGCTAAAATATAATTAAAAATGCCAAAAATTAGCAAAAAACCTAAGTCAATACGGTTAGGGGTTGAAATTCTTTGATTTTATTCGTTTATAATTTCTTAAATTTATTTTAATTATTTATCATCATTTTAGAATAGAAATTTCGGCCCCTAAGCAACACTGAAGTTGACGAGAAGTTTAGTTGCGCTCCATACAAATTTTGACAGTTCTTTTACGAGGCTCGTGAATTTGAGAGGTTTACGAGGCTTTTACGAGTTTAAGGGAAGACCCCTATTATTTTATCAGTTTTAACCTTAGTCGATCCAAGGTTCAAGAAAAATGCTTTGATGGATGAAGAGGCCCTTCAGGGGGATATTCTCTAACCAGTTAGCGAGAAAATTTCGCATCGATATCGCACGTAACGTAAAAATATTTCATATCATACGTCAACAACAGATACCGATTCGAAAATTGTCGCTAACTGGTTACAAAATCTGCCCCTAGGCCTACAAAAATGATATCGTCCGATTCAGCTGGAACAAAAATGTTTGAAACAAGTAAGAGTTTTTTTACATTATGGGCTCGAACCGACTTATATACATCATTCATTTGAATCAGTATTAAAAGCTTTATTGGCTCCTACATTCGGCTAGTCTTCCCTGAACCATTTTTTTCATATTTTTGGCCTATGTGCCATTTTATTCGAAACCTAAATGTTTTGGTAGCGAGTATCGAGAGTATTGGATACTTTTTAAATCAGTACCGAATATCGATCAATACTTAAAAGTATTGACTCAGCACATCACTAATTTCCATTACTTTTTGACATAGTTCAGGCCGTATATCATTTATAACGCGTATGATTTCAGTCTTCAGCTGTGAAATGGTCTCGGGCTTATTGGCATATATCATACTTATCACATAGCCCCAAAGAAAGAAGTCCAATGGTGTCAAATCGCAAGTTTTCGGCGGCCATTTGCCGGGTCATTTTCGAAAAAGTACGGTACCGTGATTCCGTTTAAAAACCACAATAAACAGTGACTCGTTGTGTGTGCATGGATTTTTCTTGAATTATATTTGAATTTTCTGTACCCCAAATATGGCGGTTAGGAGAAAATGTGCCTGATCGCTCATAATGATTTTTTTTTTAATGAGCGAAATGCACTTCCAACTGCAGAACGATAATTTTCATACAAATATTTGGATCACCTTTACGTGTTGTTCAACTGAGCATCGCTCCATGACTAAGTTTGCCAAAGCCTGTAGTACCAATTGTCTGGAAAAAAACATTACCATTTTCACAAATAATTGCTGTCAAAGATCTGCATTACCCTTGAATCACCCTATACTATGCAAGCTATGAGAGTGCATATGTATGTATGTAGTATGCATGCATTGCTGTGTGTGCGTTCCCTCCATTTGCAACCTCAAGTTTGCGTTTTGCTTGGCTTGCAAAATACGAGTAAATCGTAAGTGAAATATGATTAAGTAAAGTTATAAAGTTCAAGTTGACATTGTGCAGTGTTCCATGAAAGTGATGCAGTGTGAAGGGCGGTGTTAAGGCGATTGGTGGATGCTGCCATGCTTGCGGTTTACTTGTCGTTGCCACATCTGCTAGCTGTTCTTTTCTGAGCATAACTTTTTGTGATGAGGAGGGATTTTCTTTTAGTTGCCACTATTCAAGTGGGTTGAACAGTTAAGTGAATTGAATTTGTTGTGGGTTTTCGCTCTCTCCTTTTTACCAATTCAAACTTTCAAGATGCTTGTTTACCAATGTTTAACTTTCAACATTTTTGAATGTATTTTTTAATTGATTTTCGTATTTGTTTGGAGAATAAGTTTCTGTCCTTCGTTTGTCTTCTCAAATTAAGGGTTGTCTTATTCTTCTTATTTAATGTTTGGAAATTTTGCAAAAAGTTTGTTGAATGAAATATTATTTCCCCCTCTGCTTATCGTTTCTGCCAAATAACAAAAATATAAAAATATGTAATAGACTTAAGTGCTGACTTAACCGATTTCGATGTTGCGTCTTATTTGCTAGATTTTGTTAGGTTAAATTCGCTTAGGATAATCTTGGTAAAGTGAAGTTCGGTTAGATGAGGTTAATCACAGAGCTCCATTTGGATTATTTTCTACCCGAAGCATCTCTTCAAATAGTCTTTACTATAGTCATAAGCCAAGTCAGAAGCCTAAAAATATGTACACCATAACTATAAGGTCAATGTATATAAATTTATTTATTTTGCTTTTAGATAAGCGGTACATATTTTTAGGCTTCGTTGTCTGCATGAAAATCCGCAGTCTATTCATAAATAAGTATGTATTTCGGAAACGCAGAATCTTGTAATTTGTTTTTACTTTTATTCATTATTTGAATGAAACGAATATTAGGTACTGCAAGTTAAGATTTGGCTCTGCCAAAACTACTCCACGTCGCTACTGCAAAGTCGCTTACTCCCGTTCGTTTACAAATAATCGATAAAAAATCGAAAAATAATCGATAAAAAATCGAAAAATAACCGATAACAAAATCGATAATAAACCATCAATTATTATATCGATAAGTCTCGAGAATCTCTAGAACCCCAAACTAGCTCCCAAATTGAGTCTCGGTGTCATCTACATATATCCTTTTCTCTATAATTACCTTAACAAAGATAAATATAAAGAAAAATATGAGAATGAGGATACCGATAAAAGTAACGATGAAGATCGAGGAAGAAAGGTAATTATAGAAAAAAGGATATAGATAGGGACACCGACTCAATCTGGGAACTATTTCGGGATTTTAGAGATTTTCGAGATTCTGAGACCTTATCGATATTTTTATTGGTTTTGTCATCGATATTTTTATCGATTTTGTTATCGAACTTTTTATCGATTTAGTAATCGAAATTTTTATCGATTTTGTTATCGATATTGTAATAGATATTTTCGAAACTTGTCGATATAACAATCGATATTTGTACCGGTTTTGTTATCGATATTTTTATCGCTTTTGTTATCGATATTTTTTTTAGAAAAAAGACAAAAATATAACCTTAAGTAAACGCAGATGTACAAACATACATATGAGATAAACTAGATATGTAATGTAAGCTTCACTTCTCCAATGTAGTCCAGGCGCACTTACTTTTCTTTATGTAAAGGCTCCGTTATGCATACTTGGCATTGCTTGAGCGTTGTCACATAAGGAATCTGTTAAATGAGCTTCGCGTGTAAGCGGTTACCCAACGCACAGCATTACATACGTAAAAGTCTGTTGGTTTTTGATTTCTACGTAAAAATGGTATAGCAGTGCATGCAATGCCAAGTATGCATAACAGAGCCTTAAGCATTTCATCGCATACCATTTCAGTGCGAATATGTTGTCAGGTTTTTGTAAATGTTGCGAAAATTGTATTTTTTTGCTTCGTTGTGCCCGAACAGCGTTTCTCTGAGTTACACCACTTCTTTCTTACTCTGAATAAAAAAAAATAAAATATGAAAAACTAGTGGCTAAACCAAATGTTAGGTATAGGTACTATAAG